TTTTTGCACAGACTCTAAAGAACTGAGACTCATTCTGGTCGGAAAAACTGGATCAGGAAAGAGCGCAACTGGAAACACCATCCTGGGACGTACAGGCTCCTTTAAAGTGGACACGTCGCCTGAATCTGTGACTCACAGCTGTGACAGACAAGAGGTAGAACATGGTGGCAGGAACGTTGTTGTGATCGACACCCCAGGGCTGTTTGACACTAAGAAAACACAAACAGAGGTGAAAGAACACATTGAGGAGTGTGTTAGAAAGTCCGTTCCTGGCCCCCATGCTTTCCTGTTAGTGATCAGCCTGAAGTCTAGATTCACACAAGAGGAGAGGGACACGGTGAAGTGGATCCAGGACAACTTTGGCTCAGACGCTTCCATGTATACCATAGTCCTGTTTACTCATGCTGACTTGCTGGGGAGTAAATCTGTGAAGGACTATGTGGCAGAGAGTATTCATCTGAAAAGACTGATTAACCAGTGTGGTGGAAGATACCATTCACTCATCAACGGCCAGAGAGCAAGTAGAGGCCAAGTCAGAGAACTTCTAGATAAAATCGACGAAATGGTGACAGAGAATGGAGGAAGTCACTACACTAATGAGATGTATGAGGAAGCCCAGAGGAAACTTGAGGAGGAAAGGAGGAAGGAGGAGGAGCAAAGAAAAAACAAAGAGAGAGCGCGAAGGAAATTAGAGGAAAAGAGAAAGGAGGAGGAGCGAAGAAGACAGGAGAAGAAGAGAAGACAGAAGACGAAAATGCTTTCCTGGTGTGCAGTGGCAGGTGGTGCTTCTATGGGAATGTTCGGTGCAGGAGCGTATTTCAACAAAGAGTTTCTCCAGGCAATGGGTACAGTGCTTCTCTCATTCACTCAAGACATGAATTGTGCAAAATACATATTTGAAGAGGACTGACATTGTGAAAAAAAAGCAGAAGGAAGAATAAATGTCAAAGAATGAGACAAGTAAAAGCTTTCAATAGACTGTGATAAGATGCCTGTAACCCTCATTTTTACTAAGAAATGATTGCGCATTAGGGGATTAGGAATACGCTTCATGTATCGGTTTCTCTGTGTTAATTTGTAAATACAAAAAAAATAAAAAAAAATCTGTGAAGTCTGAAGTGCAGTTTACATCTCCTGGTTTCTATTTTCTTTTTATGAATCGACCTACATGTATTTGTTTGTTTGTGCTGCAACTTTTGTAACTTTTACAATCGACAGAGACCCTTGAAATTTGGTTTTACTTAAGTCGGCTGGGATAGGCTTCAGCCCCCCGCGACCCTAGTGAGGATTAAGCAGTGTATAGATAATGGATGGATTTAAATTTTTACTTCAGAGAACATCAAATTTCAACCAAAGTGGAACCATCCTCATCCATACTGCTGTCAGATGGGCCTATCTCTGTTTTTCCATTTGTACCGTTACTTGACTTTAATGGGAGGAGACTTCAACAATGGAAGGATGTGATGCAGCCCCGGCAGTTTTCTCATCTCCCCCGCTGTAAAACACACCTCATTACATAGTTATACCAAGAAAACCTAAAGTGATCAGTTAAAGGGCTTTATTGTTGATCTTGTGTTTCCGTCACCCTTTCTAAAATATACCGGCCAAACACAGACCTATTCAGATTACTCAGAGAGCCGTGGACAGCCTCTGTGGGGATTCACATTTTCAGATGTAAACAGAGACAATACAAGGAAATAGGAAGCCCCCCGTTCATAGCACAGGCTTCCAGAAGTTTCCCAGAAAACTCATGTGAAAGTTGAGCCACAGAGCTCGCAGCTCAGGTCTGGAAGAACAGATTTGGTCACCTGGGACCTGGAAAAAGTAGATCTGAAGTAATGGCTGAAGGTAAGAGAATCTATCTGACTTAATGTCGAAAGCAAAAACAGCGCTGAGCCTTTGATTACTGTGAGATGCTCATGTGATACGGTGACACTGAAAAGGGAAGGAAATAGGAAAAATGTAGACCTTGTTAATGATGTCAGTGACTAATAGTCTATTTTTTTTGTGCGTCTCAATGGTATCATTTTATTGTCACAGCAATACCGCTCCGAGAAAAGAAGCAGAGGACTCTACCTCGTTCTGATGGGTGTGGTCTGAACAACTTTGACGGTAGACTCCATTTCTCAAGAAACCTCAGTAATTAGTTATATATTTATATGATACTTTATAATATCGATAACGATTGACAACTTAAACTATGTTGTTTTTGTGAATATATTATTTATTGTTGCTCCTTGAATAGTTGGGTTGCAAAAAATGTCTTTGTCTGGTGTTAACTCTTCTCTAGTAATTCTGTCTGTTAGATAAACGGGGAATAAACACATGAGAATCTGTGGTTCTTAATGTTAACACCTAGTTTGTAAACTTGGATTTTGGCTTCTCCCAGATGGACGAATGCTCCTCATGAGGAATTAAAACTAATCTAAGTTATGTTTGCACTGAAACACACTGTGCGTAATCTCAAGGGCGTAGCAGACATGCCGAATTTACTTTGTTATTTAGAACGCCTCCAAAGCAGATATTTGGAATACCTGAATGGCACCTATCCATTTTAATGACCAATAGTCTTGGACACATGCCAAAAGAGTTGCAGGATAACGTCACAACTGTAAAAATGCATTGTATGCGCTTTGCGAAAGCTTTACACAGATCAAAACTTAATGATTTAAAAACACACACAAAAAATAATTTACCTTGTTTCCTCTAAAAAGATTGTTTTTCGACATTCTTCTTCCGTTATGTTACTCTTTGTCTTGGTTGGAGGAAGGTTGAGTAGCTGCAACGAACTGAGATTTGTTAGGATATTTGCTAGCTTGTTGTGCTCATCCATTCGTTGGCATGCATTAGCAGTTATTTTTCAGCATTCATATAGCACGCATATGCACACACATCTGTGCACGACAAGGACAATGGCAACAGGGTGCCATTAAAATGATAAAAAGAAAAAGCAAGACATTCTAGAGAAATGTATACACCAGCAAAGAAGTTTTTCAAGAGACCACGATCCAAACACACTAATTAAAACACTCCCTGCTAATATGGCAATAAAACAAAGGCTTCACATTTTATTCGTGCACAGGGCTAACTTTGTGTCTCCCACAGCTCTGGATTTGTCCGGAGGGTTGAGGATAGTCCTGGTGGGCAAGACTGGATCAGGAAAGAGTGCAACAGGAAATACCATCCTCGGAAGAGCTGCCTTCAAAGAGGACCCGAGCCCCGTGTCCGTTACCAAACACTGTGAGACGCAGCGCGGGGAAGTGGACGGGACTGAGGTCCAGGTGATTGACACTCCAGGTCTGTTCGACACAGGCATCTCAGAGGAAGAATTAAAAACCAGAATAGAGGAGTGCGTCAAGTTGTCAGTGCCCGGCCCTCACGCCTTCCTCCTGGTGATCAGGCTCGGCGTGAGGTTCACGGAAGAGGAAAGAAACGCTGTGAAGTGGATCCAGGATAACTTTGGAGACGACGCCTCCATGTACACTATCATGCTGTTCACGTGTAAGGATCAAGCCAAAGCTGACAATGCTCTGAAGGAGTGCAAGGAGCTGCGGAGACTCTCGATCACGTTCGGACGCAGATACCACGCCTTCAACAACAACGACGCGGAGGACCGCGTGCAGGTCGGGGAGCTGATCACCATGATCAAAGACATGGTACAAGACAACGGGGGCAAACACTACACGAATGAGATGTACGAGAAAGCCCAGAGGAAGCTCAGGGAGGAGGAGGAGCGGAAGAAGCAAGAGGAGGAAGAGAAGAAAGAGGAGGAGAGGAAAATGTGGGATGCAGAGAGGGAACAGCAAGAGAAAGAGAGAGAAAAGGTCAAAAAGGTCAAAAGAAAGAATATACGCGTGGCCTCGGCTGCTGCTGTTGTGCTGGTGTTAGCTGGGGCGGTTATAGCGGTGGGAGCTGAAACCACAGTGGCTTTGGCTTTAGGAGCTCCTGCACTCCTCCTGGGAGTGTTATGCGGGTTAGCTGCCATTTTGATATGGAAAGGCATAAAATGCAAAGCCAAAGCTAATGTTCCTGTATAACCATAACTGAATGTACAGTAGAAATATTCCAAATACAGCGTTAACAACACAACACATTACTATACTGTTTAGAACGAATCAGTGAATGATGTGTTTTGGCCTTTTTTTTTGCATTCTGCTTCAAAAAATGAAAACGTTTTTGCCATAACAGAAGTATGTGAATTTAATAGTAAACAAACGGTATGAAATGCAACGTTCTTTTTGTTTTCTTTTCACTTGCTTTTTATTTGAAACCTATTTAAGAATATGAGCTACACTTGAACAGATATTTTGAGTTGAGTCCTAATAAATAATGATAAAATTTGTAAATACCCCCCATTTTATCATTTAACTTATATGATAAATTCTCAAATACAACATCTATGCAGCTGAATTAGTGTTCCTGATTTAAACAATGATGTGCTGTTTCCTGTTCTTTATTATTAGTAACATTACAGGCTCATTTCCTTGAAGGAAACGGGAAACAATGGGAAACGGCCATTGATTGATCACATTTGCGGAAACAGAGCAACCCTTAACTAGTCTGCCACTGTGACATTGTCAGCACATACCATCTCCAACATAATGACCTTAAAATGGTAACATGGTCAACTTCCACCTCTGAAAGTAGTAGTTTCAACATCCCTGTTCAACCAATTATCCAGTGAACCAGGTTTAGGTTGAATGTACGTGTTAACCCCTTTTTGACATGGAGAAAGACACCGTTGTGTTTAAATGTACATTTGCACAACAAAACACTGTCAATTAAACAGCCTCCCTTTCTGGAAATTTGTTGTCCTCAGGCTGCGAAGTAGCCATTTAAGCTGCATTTTAAAGGAAGATGTACAGAGAAGCCTGCTTCTACAGGATAAACCCGCATGTCTCAGCTTTGTAGACAGTTCAGAAACTTTAGTAAAAATGTTTGAAACATCTCCAACCTCATAATTTTACAAACTGTGCAATAAAAAAACAAAAAACAAAAACAGACTTCTGTCAGCTGCTTCATGTAAAATGACTGTAAAGTAAGATTTGGGTGTAGCACTTAAAATTCAGTAATTACAGATTACATTCTTTCTTTAAGACTGTATAATTAAGAAGTGTAATCTTAATGAGTGCAGGGTGTGCCTAAAGAACATACAAGAAACTATTTCCCTTTGTCACATCTTCATGTTTGTGTTTTACCTGGATTAACCTTTGATTAAAATTTGTACATCAGAGCTGTATATTATATATCTATTTATCTCGCTCTCTCTCTCTCTCTCTCTATCTATCTATCTATCTATATATATAGATAGATAGATAGATAGAGAGATAGAGATTAATATGGATATATAAAAATTTCTATAGAAGTCTCTTAACACTAAATGACTGCAATTAGACATCAGATGTCTCTCAAGGTTCAGCTTTGCTATCATTATACAAGATAAGATTGGAATAAAGTTGTAGACACCGTAGAGCAGAAAAGGCAAAAAAAACAAAACAAGATATTCCAAAGAGATAATTATTCTGAAAGTGCTTTTTCTTTTTCTTTTTTTTTAGATGAACCTGAAAATGTTTCATAGTGTGTGTGCCATCTACATTTACTCTTAACCACTAACATATATATTGATATTTACACATCTGAACAAATCTTACAAGTGTTCCTTTTATTGTGACACAAGAATTATTCAAATAGACCTTGTGGTTGCAGAGATAAACTGTTTTTATTGTGGGTATGTAATTTTCGAGCAGAGGCCTGAAAAATAGCTCAGGGCTTAATAGGTTAAATATCTGTTTATACTAATCAAATATTTTAAATGCTTTGTGGTTTCCAACAGTGAGGCATCATGAAGGTTCAGAGACATAAGAAGGGATTTGCAAAGTTAATGTGGAAATAATTACACAAATGTTGAGCAGGGTGACACAGAGGGATACTGAGGGCCTCTGGTGGAGGGAAGGAGAGAAACAAGTGACCAAGCTGGATAAAAAAAAACTGTGAAAGCTGTTCCAAGTTGTCATGGTTTGGCAGCACAACCAGGCCTCACATTGTCCCACATGTGTTTTGAGTTTGACATTACAAATTGTTTTACCAGCAGAGTCCTATAAAGTCTTACATGGTGTCGTGGCAACAATTTGTGTGAATACTTGACTGAATTCATTTTCTTGTGATAAACATTTTGGAGTCAAACATCAAACAACATATTTAATCGATGTTATTTTATTCTCAGAGATTTAATGAAGTTAAATGAGTTTTCTACACAGAGCGGTCTGAACAATCAAAACATACAGCAATGACATCTGAAAGATTCATCATTTAAGGCAGACAAGGTCTGACTAATACAGATGATCGTACACTAATGCAATGAATAAATGCAATATCAGAAAAGTCGAATGTGAATTTGTACTTAAGTATGACATGGCTGACTTCATAGGAGTCCTGACTTAGTTGGTTTTTGTTTTCGGTCTGATCCACCTCCAAACAGTTCCAGTGACCCCTGCAACTGCAACTGCAGCTACTAGCAGTGGTCGTCTGGCTGCAGCAGCAGGGGCAGCAGAATACAAAGCTGCCCCCACCAACAAAGAACCTGCAGATTTCAGGGTGTCGCCACACTTTCCCTTAAATCTTTCCCAATCCAATTGTTTCTGGGCCTCTTCGTATTTGCTGCTGGTATAAAAGCCCTCATTTGACTGCACAGTGGTGTCTATCTTTTCAAACAGATCAGCTACCTGTGTGCGATCATTCATGCGTGTGTTGTCAAACACTATGTACCCGGCTTTACAGTCATCGATGAGCTCGCTCAGCTCAGGACTTCGGTGTAAATAGTCCTCAATGGAAGTTTTGTTGAGCACATCACCGTGAGTGAAAAGCACTGCTGTGTACTTGGAGGCTTCTGCACCAAAGTTCTCCTTGATCCACTTTACAGCATCCTTCTCCTCTTTTGTGAAGCGAACATCCAGTCTGATCACTAGCAGGAATATATGGGGTCCTGGGAGAGACAGCGTGATACATCGCTCTATTTCACTTTTCAATGTCTCGTCGTCAACTGACGTGTCAAAGATCCCGGGAGTGTCAAAGACACGCACGGTTCTTTCATCAAAGTGGACGATTTGTTCCTTACAATTCTTGGTCTCGGAAGATGAAAACATGCTTGTGGCAAAAGCTTTCTTTCCCAGGATGGTGTTCCCTGTTGCACTCTTTCCTGATCCAGTCTTTCCGAGCAGGACAATCCTCAGGTCAGTAATAACTGGAGAGCAGGAGTCTTTGAATAAAAAGACAGCAAAGCATTTATTGAAAATTCTTCAGTCACCTCACAGTAGGAATGTAAAATGTGTGCACATATGCATACACATAAGTACAGAGACTGACCTTCAGCTGTGGTTAATCCCATGTTGTTGTAGAGAGCAAGAAAAACCAGTAACTCCGATCAAACTGGATAGACTGTCCAGACTAGTTTCTAACGTGTTCTTTTTCAAGATTATATTAAGTCTGTACTTGTGGGAGTCAGTGATCCCTCCTTCCCTCCTTCCCTCCCTCCCTTCCTCTGTCTCTGTGCCATGGAGGTTTACTGGGAAATGAAACTTACAGAAGGCTGCTGTATGGGTTTGAAACCTTAATAAATTGGCTGAAATACAGACTTTGCACACATGAAAGCAGGTGACGATGTAATCTCAGACTTGACTCACACTTTAAAAGAAGATTTTACATCATAATTCATTCACTTTGCCTCATTTTAGATCAAAACCAGAGAGGAGTTGATCAACTTTTCTGCTGACGTGTCCCATTCATCAATAATCAAGGTTCAGGGTACATTCTTTTTTTACTATTACATCAATGATTGCACAGTAAAATGTTGCTTCATGCTACATACAGGAAAAACTCTATAAATTAGACAGAAATGTATTCAAATATGTTTTTATATTTACAAAGTATACACACCCACACAACATTGGTAATAGAACTGTAAAGTTGTCGTACAAAGAAATAAATTATGTGGGGATCAGCAACCAGCTGGAGAGCACAAACCAATCAGCAGCTAAAGCACCAGGTGAAAGAATCAGGAACAAAGCTAAAAAAAAAGAAAAAAAAAGAAACAATGACACCATCGTTGATTTGAATTAGTAGGTATATTTGAAGTTGGTGAATAACAGAACACACAGACACATAAAACTAAACTAGCTGTGTCATGCTGCTGAGATTCCACTCTGCCTCTGCTTGTGTGTGTGTGTGTGAGTGTGTGTGTGTGAGCAGTGTGTGTACAGAAGGCCAGTGTGTGTTGTGTGTCTGTGTGGGCAGCTGGAGCGATGCCTGTTTATTTTTACACAGTTTTTCATGTATGTCGGGGTCTTTAACAACTTTGTTTTCCTGTGTTTGTGATTTACAGATTTTATCGTTTGACAGAATGCTTCATTATTCATTCAAATGTTGTTACTTTTAGAAAAAAAATCATTTTGCTTGTTGAGTTTAACAAAATAAACTGTTTTTGCCTTTGTCTTTGACTGTATTTGAATANGGTGTAAATAGTCCTCAATGGAAGTTTTGTTGAGCACATCACCGTGAGTGAAAAGCACTGCTGTGTACTTGGAGGCTTCTGCACCAAAGTTCTCCTTGATCCACTTTACAGCATCCTTCTCCTCTTTTGTGAAGCGAACATCCAGTCTGATCACTAGCAGGAATATATGGGGTCCTGGGAGAGACAGCGTGATACATCGCTCTATTTCACTTTTCAATGTCTCGTCGTCAATTGACGTGTCAAAGATCCCGGGAGTGTCAAAGACACGCACGGTTCTTTCATCAAAGTGGACGATTTGTTCCTTACAATTCTTGGTCTCGGAAGATGAAAACATGCTTGTGGCAAAAGCTTTCTTTCCCAGGATGGTGTTCCCTGTTGCACTCTTTCCTGATCCAGTCTTTCCGAGCAGGACAATCCTCAGGTCAGTAATAACTGGAGAGCAGGAGTCTTTGAATAAAAAAACAGCAAAGCATTTATTTTAAATTCTTCAGTCACCTCACAGTAGGAATGTAAAATGTGTGCGCATATGCATACACATAAGTACAGAAACTGACCTTCAGCTGTGGTTAATCCCATGTTGTTGTAGAGAGCAAGAAAAAACAGTAACTCCGATCAAACTGGATAGACTGTCCAGGCTAGTTTCTAACGTGTCTGTATTTATGCGAGTCAGTGATCCCTCCCTTCCTCTCTTTCTGTGTCACAGTGGTTTACTCACCAGTGTGGTTTACCGGGAAATTAAACTTACAGAAGGCTGCTGTATGAGTTTGAAACCTTAATAAAATGGCTGAAATACAGACTTTGCACACATGAAAGCAGGTGACAATGTAATCTCAGATTTGACTCACACTTTAAAAGAAGATTTTACATAAGAATTCATTCACATTGCCTCATTTTAGATCAAAACCAGAGAGGAGTTGATCAACTTTTCTGCTGACGTGTCCCATTCATCAATAATCAAGGTTCAGGGTACATTCTTTTTATTATTACATCAGTGATTGCACAGTAAAATGTTGCTGCTCCATGTTACATACAGGAAAAACTCTATAAATTAGACAGAAATGCAATTAAACAAAAATTTATATTTAGAAAGCATACACACCCACACAACATTGGTAATATAACTGTAAAGTTGTCGTACAAAGAAATAAGAAACTATATGGGGATCAGCAACCAGCTGAAGAGCACAAACCATTCAGCAGCTAAAGCACCAGGTGAAAGAATCAGAAGCTCAAAGAAACATGACTCCATAGTATTCAGCTATTTGATTTCGTAGGTATATTTGAAGTTGGTGAATAACAGAACACACAGACACACAAAACTACAACTAGCTGTGTCATGCTGCTGACGTCTGCAGGCGAGGGTATGTCACGGTGTAAAAAGAGACACTATGCAAAAAATGTCAACCTGTTTGCACTGCTGGCATGTATTATAGCAATCAAAGTCAAATGTCTTTTAGTTTCAAGCTGATCCAGCCAGCCTCAGTACTGTCAGGAATCCTACCTGGCAGGAACCTGCCAGCATATCTGTCTCTGAAATGAAAACAATGTGAACTAGAAGACTCCTGAGGAATTTTTTAGAGTGCCAATGCAGTTTTCGCCAGCTACTGTGGCCTGCTATAATGATACATAAGGTATGATTTATATCATTTTGAAAAGCCCACATTTCACAAACCCTGATCAGCACCTCTCTGCATCTTTGAGTTTTTACTTTGAAAGTGTAATCCAGTATCAGTAAGCTGAGAGTCATGGTTGCTGGCAGTGAGAAGAGCTGAGGAGCAGACAGGCAGACTAAGAATTCATCCCTTGAAAAAGCAGTCATCGCTCAAAAACTACAAGTTGTACTGAAAAACATCTTTCACCGGGTGAAGCAAAATCTTGCTCTGAGGATGCTTCTGGATTTTCATGTACATGCTGTATATTATATAGATTTGGTGGCAGGTCACTAGAATCTCCATTTCTCATTTTCCTCTGAAATTTTGAAATCTGATGAGGTGATTTCTGAAAAAACAAAACAAAACAAAAAAAACACAAGTCCTATAGCAATGAGGCTCGCATTGGGTGAAAAAGGACAAAATGCTGATATTTTATATATAAATTGTGAGGAGGAGACAAGGTTAACTGCACTTTTCCATAAAATGTATTTAATCAAAAATGTAGGAGTGTCAGTGCTGCCACTGTAGCTAAAGAAAAACAAACCAGGATTAAAAAAAAATAATCCATAAAACTTAAACCCTGACTGCGTAAATATCTGGAATAACATTAAAGGCCTTTTGACTTGTTCAAACTTGGAATGAAGTTTCGACTGTTATATAACAGAGCTACAAGGTTCCAAAGATGGCTGGGTTTTGGCAGTTGTCCGGCCAACTTCCCATTCATTTCTATTGGGATTTTTAATGCAGTTTTTCACCAATTTTGTAAAATCCTTATGATGAATTGCTACCAAAAGTCATAGCATGTCATTCCCAATTGAGATGTACATTCTGATAAACAATTTTTATGGGTTTTCTCAAAGCTGCGGGATGAGTTAGGTGCTGAAAATTGTTGGAATCCATAATAAGAAGAATAACAATAAGTCTGTTTCAGTGCTTATGCATTGAGACACTAAATGATTCAATGCTCCAAGTGCCTCAAACAAATTGGAAGCAGAAGTGGTGTCTAACACCACCTGGTGGCTGGTTACAGAACTTGTAAATCACCCTCCACACAACCAAACCAGCGTTAACACAGCTCAAGTGAATACTATGATAATCAGTTTCTCGAACATATCATTCGAGGAGTCATTTTCACTCCTCGTGGGGTCTCGTCAGGTCCCGTACATGCCAACAGGCTTCCAGCTGCTCCTCCCTGGCTTCATCCTCAGTCTGCCCACTGCAGCTCCAAGAGATGACAACATGCGAGCAACCAACAATGTTTGTAACAAAGTGTCCTAGTGTCCTAGTGCTGTCATTTCATTTTTTGCATAACTAGCTGTGTGCGTGTGTGTGTGTGTGTGTGTGTGTGTTTAGTATGCAGTATGACACTGCTGCCCTCCTACACATCTGTGTATGAGATCAGGCAAGACAGGCTGGCCACTCATAAAAGAATAAAGACACCAGCTACTCGCATCATATGGCTTCACTGCACCACCGGGAAGCAGACAAACAAAACCTGAGACATCTTGAAAAGTAAGTTTTACAGAGAATTGCTAGAAATGCGGAATTGAAATTGTTTGAAACCAAAGCACATGTTGCCACTTCAATCTGTTATTTATGTCTAAGTTCATTTAAAATGTGCTTCTGTTAAGTAAATGCATTGAACACAATTTCTTCTTTACAGTATATTTAGGTGTTAAACAAGAACCACTGATGAGAAGAGGACTCTGAACAAATCACAATCCGTGGACACGCTCTTCAAGATTTGGCTCTCTGTAGCCTTTGAAGTGTGAAGATAAGACAAAACCTGGACTCGGGTGCTTCCAAGACAAATTATCATTTGACGGTAAACTTTTGAAGCGATCATGGCCTCAACAGGTCTGCAGGTGCTGGGCTTGGTGTTGGCGGTGCTGGGTTGGGTGTGCGGGGCACTGGTGTGTGCGGCGCCTCTGTGGCGAGTATCGGCCTTCGTCGGCGGGGAGCTGGTGATCGCCCAGGTGCTGTGGGAGGGACTGTGGATGAACTGCTTGTCTCAGACCACAGGACAGATTCAGTGCAAGACCTACGACTCTACTCTGGCCCTGCCAAGGTCCGCCCAGGTGGCCCGGGGCCTCACGGTTCTCTCCCTGCTCCTCTGCCTTCTGGCGCTCATGCTGGGGGTGGCCGGGGCCAAGTGCACTCACTGTATGGGCAACGGGAACCAGGCCTCCAAGACTCGGCTGGCTGGGATAGCAGGGGTACTCTTTGTTGTGGCTGGCCTTGCCTACCTGATACCCATCTGCTGGACCGCCTACACAATCATCAGGGACTTTTATGACCCAAACATTGCAGCACCTTTGAAGAGGGAGCTGGGTCCGGCGCTGTACCTGGGCTGGGGGGCCAGCGTGCTGCTCCTGGTGGGGGGAGCTCTGTTGCATGTCGGCTCCTCTGCACAAGGAGGCAGAGCGCTGCCCGTCCTTGGAAGAGCAGCGAAGGACAACTCTTCTTCAGTGGCTGCAAGCGAGGGGAAGCAACCAGAAAAATCTTTTGTATGAGGTAATTTTAATCGGACATGCGAACAGACTCCAGGGTCACGACCTCATCAGAGGAGCTTCTGGAAACTGCAAGGTCCCGATCTATTAAAGGATATGTTGTGTTTTATATTTTGATGAAGCTGAGTTTGGTCTTTAAGTTTTTCTATTTCACCCCTGACATGACAGAGCAAAAGGTTTCTAATTGGATTTACTTTATTTAAGGGCTCTGTGTTACAGTAGGAGTTGAAATGGATTGTGGGAGGATTTTAGATGTTTACTAATGCACGTGACTTACATTTCTCAGATTCCACTCTGCCTCTGCTTTTGTTTGTGTGTGTGTGAGTGTGTGTGTGTGGGCGGTGTGTGTACAGAAGGCCAGTGTGCGTTGTGTGTCTGTGTGGGCAGCTGGAGCGATGCCTGTTTATTTTTACACATTTTTTCATGTATGCTTTGGTCTTTAACTTTTTTTTTTTTCAACATTTGTGATTTACAGATTTACAGAATGCTTAATTACTCATTCAAATGTTGTTACTTCTAGAAAAAAACATTTTTGTAGTTGAGTTTAACAAAATAAACTGTTTTTTGCCTTTGTCTTTGACTGTATTTGAATAGTTCAGTGTCTCCTAACAAGTGGATAAACACAGTGAATGAAGTGCTTTACTAACTTTTATCATTATGTTAGGAGGGTTACATAACGCAGAGATTCAGTCTGTCTTATAATGCTTCATCTAGCTAAGGCCACCTAACTTAAAAACACACCATATACATTATATGTGCTTCACTGTGACAATGCATTTACCACACTTACTTTCTCAATAAATGACTTTCTTCAGATATTTGCTCACTTCTGCGCAATAAATATGTGTTTGCTTTCACTACAACCGCTTGTCATTGAAACAGTAGGCATAAGCTTCTCCTCAGTTAAGCGTTTGCGACCCGTGAACATGGACGGATTATGAAACAAAGGGGCCTCTGGGCACAGACATGTAAAAGGCCACCCACCCCTCCTACAGAGCAAAACAACCACAAACCTTGTAGCTGTGTTTGTAGTCCTTGTGTCTCTTTAAAATGTGTATCTTGCACATGTTTTGCATCTCATTGTAGATTTACAATTCGTTCTGGCTATTTGGGATCTTTTTGTGACTGATCTTTGTACTTAGTTGCTTCTCTTTGCAGTCATTTTGTGCTACTTTGAGCTGGTTTGTGGTTGTTTTCTGACTTTGCAGATTGAATTACGTTTTCCAGATAAAGACCAGGGGCAGACCCGTTTATAATCCATCCATGTCTGTAAAAACACAGGATTATTCTGCTCTAATGATCTTATGGTTTCAAAACTTCACAGCACATTTGCTACATATTAGTCCCATGAAACAGTATCTAACAGATGTACATCTGCTTAAAGAACTGACAAGAAGAGATAAAACAGCAGCAATGGACTGGTTCCCACAGCTTTTTTTTCCCTTCACTTCATTGTATTGTCTCAGTTTATAAATGTTTAGGACAAAATCATCACACAGTCCAGAATTTAGTTTAGTCTTTCACACATGTGGTTCGGACTGTTCTTGTTCAGAATTGTGCATGTCACTTAGAAACTCAAGGCTACTGGAGACCAGCATCAACGAAAGAGGAAACGCCTGCACACCGACTCCAAACCTCAACCCAGTCAGATCTCAAACTAGTGACAGCGGACATGAAACACTTGGGGGCAGCAAACATCAAGTAACTGATGAGTCACTTACTGACTCATATGAAAACTGCTGATTGTTTCATATGACTACAAGGATATATGATGATGTAAAACTTGTCAGTATTGCATTGTCAGTTTAAGACCAAGTAGTGCTTTAATCAGCCTCCTATATCTGTTGCTGTGACTGTTTTCTCCGTTTTGCTTCAATATGTTGTGATTTTTAGAGCCCACTGGGTTTCCTCATTTTACATGGAAAGCACATCTTGCACTGTGTGTTAATTTCCAGACAAATGTTCCTCTTTCACCTGATACATGCAGCTGTGAATAAGATGAGGGTTAACTCGCTTCTTAGTTGCTTTTGGTTGAGGTTTTAGAATTGTGTTGTAACGTCTGTAAGTGTCAAACATGCCAGTACATGTCCATGTTTCTAGTTCAACTGCTGTAATTTTGTTTTTTTTAGGTGCGAATTAAAGATGGGAAATGAAAACACCAATTGAAGAATGACTTTTAAAGGAGACATTACTGCCTAAACTGAGCGCACATAGAGCCAACGTGAAGTCAAGTAAAGAATCTGATGTCCGACAGTGATTCCATGTAGCTTTCCCAGCATGCCACTCCGCTAACTCTGCACAACAGCAGATTAAGGCCTGTTTTTAGGGGAACATGGGGCAAGGCGACGGCATGCAAAGACCTGCTGCACTCCAGACTGCCAGGAGTTCCTCCTTCTTGGAGAGGAACAAACACTGCAAGTTTATTTTCATTCGCTCTTATCCATTTTGTGGTGACAACATATTTCCAAGCAGCCTCAGCTGCAACATAACACCATTAGAAGAGAGAACAGAAAATATAAATACAGGATTGATACTGTGTGTTCCATTTAGCTGCACTTGTTTCCCCGGAAGTCAGCAGAAACAACTAGCAGTCATCACTTTCAGTTCATTATTGGATTTCATTATTCTAATAATCACTCCTGTCAGCAAACAACTTACACTATCACATCTACTGTACACAAGGAAATCAGTTTAGGAAAGCACGGTGCCCTTGGAGTCAAGGCTCTGGTGTTACAACATGTTCATTGACCATCATAAAAAGTGACCATAAAAGCAAGTTGTGACCTTTGTTCTAATGTGACTCCCTGGAAAGTTTTTGGTTTCCTGTTTACACATTTTAGCAAAAAATAAAATAAAAAATACACAGTCAGTGTCAGTCTCCTGCATGTTATCCTCCATTTCTCCTTCCTCTTGTTTCCTACTATCTCTGTTGTCTTTATTCTTTAATATTAAACTCTTATTAAAAAAACCCCAAACAAAACAGGAGTGACTTCACCTAAGATTAAAGAATGCATTTAAAAAGTGGCTGATGAAGCGATAACAGTGCAATGGATGTAACTCCACAGTTGAACAAAGGGGGCAGCAACAAGCCCATTGTAAGCTGAAAATCAGAATGCTGTGAAGAAGAACAGCTACACAAATGTGAAATTCATACTTCCAACCTCATGTTTCCTTTAAAAAAGTAAAATCAAGTATGGTTCATCAAAATGTATTGGACTTACAAACCCACAGAATGATGCATATTGTCTGGAACATATGGGAGCAAACCTGTGTCCCCACATTCTTAAATTTTTAAGCCAGTTAAATATTTGCATTGAAATTATGCCTCTGAATCCCATGCTCACTCTCTTACGCTTAACTGTCTTTAAAAAAACATCAAGTTATATTATTTTGGTTGACAAATAACATATTTGCAGGTACTGTACCAAAAAGTGATCCACAGAAGCAATTTTATTTCTTTCATGTCTGCATTATTCCACCTGCTCTGAGGCTGAGATTATAACCAATCCAGTTGTTTTTTACTGGTAAAAATTGCTTTAAATCACAAATTCAACTCATAAAATGCAGTTTTGCACCTTTGACTGAAATGTTCCCATTACAGTAAAATTACTTGATTTCACTCATGAGGTTTACATTTGAGGGCTGCAAGGTGACGCAATTGGAAGCACTGTTGCCTCGCAGCAAGAAGGTCACCGGCTCATGTCCCGGTGGGGCACTGGGATTTTTCTGCGTGGAGTTTGCATGTTCTCCCCGTGCAGTGTGGGTTCTCTCCGGGTTCTGCGACTTCCTCCCACACAGTCCAAAAACATGTTGAGGTTAATTTTGGTGATTCTAAATTGTCCGTAGGTGTGAATGTGAGTGTGCTTGGTTGCCTGTATCTAAGCGTAGCCTTGCGATAGACTGGCGACCTGTCCAGGGTGTCTCCTGACTTCACCCTAAGTTGGCTGGGATAGACTTCATGAGGATTAAACAGTGTATAGACAATGGATGGATGGGTTTACATTTGAAGGATTCTAGCCCATAGGATAATTGCAGAAGAAATGATGCATTTATTCAATATGTGAAACATGTCTGTAAAACAGTAGTTGATTGTAGTCTGAGCAAGGCCACTAGACATACCAAGCACATATACTAAGCCAGGATACAATATGATGTAATAAGCCATCATTAATCCCACAGGGGGGGAAGTTTGCTTTGTAACAGCAGCAAAAGGGGATAGTGCAAACATTTGACAAATATCAGTAAAAAAAAATCAAAATAAGCAACAAATATACTTATGTACTGGTTCTTCTATACGTGGGTGTTCAGACTGTACAAATTCCTCCAGATGTGGGAATAATATTGCTCATATAAATGGTTGGATGGCTGCATGTGCGAATGAATGTCGGTAACCCCAGTAAGCACTTTAAGTTCAAACACTTTACACTGCACAAACAAAAACACAAACATATAACTTATCAATTCAGCCAAACGCTTATTTAGGCTTTGTTGAAGTACTTAAGTTCTATTTGTAGGGTGTGCATTTAGCTATCTTTTGCTAGTTTGCTAAGATGTACTAATCTTTTCTCTTTCTTATCGGTGCTACTGTATCTGGCTGGCTTCCGGCAAAAGGCCTCAGGGGAGCAGCAGGGTTTTATACCAGAGCCGCAATCAGGTCATACCAAGTGCGTGCCAATTCAAGGGGTGGACTCGATTTATTTGATTTAAATATTACTTCATTTAGTTGATTCGTGTTGGGTAATTGAATATATTTTGGGCTTGTTTACTGTCATTCTTCTGATTACGTAGACCAGTTGTACTGTTTTGTGCTTTTTGTTGTTAGTTCAGGTGTAGGTGTTTTATGTTTCCCCTATTGTGTGTAACTGCTCTGATCAGCCATAGTATATATCCTCTGTTCAGTGCTATTCAGGTCTGCTATGAGTTCCTTTCATCAGAGCAGTTGGTGCTGGGTTATCTTGTTTCTTAATTTCTGTTCTTTTGACCTCTTTTATGGGCTGGACTTTGGAATTGTTTTTGTAACTTTGCCATTTTTTGGGTAATACAAAGTCATCTGCGAGTCCTCGTGCTTTGCAGTTCAATTCCTCATAAATTGCATTACACAGATTCTGTCATGAGTAGAAATACTCAGATAATATTGCATAGATTTGTCCAAAAGTAGAAAAATATTGGTAGTGCACAGATTCTAGCATATGTAGAAAAAATGATATTATTGTTTGAAATATTCATATAGTATACATATTGGGGGGGAAAAATACTGTAATGCTGCCTATAATCACATTAAACAACAGCAAGCATCCTTTAATTACAATTATTCACCAGGTTTGATCCAGAGGTAAGCAGCTGTTTATAAATCGGGCCAAACAGCTTTAACATGAGACTTTCAGGCACCTGAACTCACCACAGCAGAACAACATATTCAACTATTTCATGCAAACAACACATTATCTCACCAAACTATGCAGTTTGTGCGCCAACCCCCTTTTTTTAAATGGGTAGTTTGTTCTGGTTTGAGAATGTCGACTCTTAAAGAGACAGGCTGAGGGCTGAGTCATGCGCAGCTGCACGCAGGCGGCCTGTCGCTTTAAAACCTCATGACAGTTCAGTGGCGCTGGTGAAAGTGGGGTATGTGAGTGAGTGTGCTGTGCGGGGCTTGAGCATTCTCGTACCCCGCCGTCGACCTTTGGATCTTCGGCCCCCGGGGCGGGTAGGCAGCTCCGGCGTCCACAGAGGCAATTGGCTGCGCTCTTTTCTTCTGTCTGCAGCTTCTTCCTCCACCGAACACAGCAGGCAGAGCGCGCGCGCACACACACACACACACACACACACGGCCTGTTTTTTGTTTTTTTTACGCGCAGTTCATGTGGCACGAGTGTGCGCAATGCTGCCGGAGCCCAAAGTCCCCGGTCCGCGGCGCATTCCCTTATCGGCATGTTTGAAGATTAACGAGGCTGTCGGTGTCCTGTAGACCACGAGCTGCTACAAGGTGGAAGCTGCCGACGAGAAACAAGCTGCGTCAAGGAAGGAAGCCATCCCCCCTTAAAAGTGTAGCTGCAGCGGACGACGACTGGTGCCATGACGGAGAAACGGATGTCCCGGTGGTATTTCGGTGGGCTGGCGTCCTGCGGAGCCGCCTGCTGCACGCATCCTCTGGATCTCATCAAGGTGAGGGGGGCTGTAAGGGGAGGTCTGAGGCCTGCACGCCAGCTGTTTCCAGTAGTGGACACCGTATCTCACCATGATCCCCCTCCGAAGGGCTCATCATGTCATCGCGTGGCATCAGATGTCTCTGTGCGCTTCCTAAAGCAGCTGTGAGGGTGTCACATGTCACCCATGGCATCACTGTAATGCCAGTAGCTATAAGAAGCTGCTGGAATATAGGACACAGGTCAGGCCAGATAACAGCATGTGCTGACAATATGAGAAAAACAAAGGGAAGTTATTGTTGGGTTCACTGCAGTTTAAGATCACGTTCACTAGAGAGCAACTTGTCATCAGCAGACAGCAGGTGTGTGTGTGTGTGTGTGTGAGCTTGACTGTGCTGCAGAGGACTGAACCAGCACGTCTCACATGACCCTGATCAAACTAACTGGACCTCAGGAAGTCATGTGGAGCTTAATTATGTGGTCAAGGCTGCTAATCATCACCTCACAGTGAAATAGTCTGGATGTCTGGCCTAATGTGCTCATTAGCTGGTGATGCAATAGAAAGCACAGTTTTTTTTTTTTTCCTCAAATAATCTTTATATTTCATTTTTAAATGTGCTGCTTTCACCAAACATTTAAACAAACAAGTGTGTTTTTGTCTATTACGGCTGCAGCTGATGCTTATTTTCCTTGTAGATTAAGCTGCCAATGAAAAGTCGGCGAGTTGATCTATGAAATGTCATAAAATGGTGACAAATGTTGATCCGTGTTAACGAAAGCCCAACATGACATCAAGATATGCAATTTACTGTCATAGAGAAGCAAAGAAAACAGAAAAGGATCAAATTTAAGAAGTTAGAATCAAAGGATTTAGCCTTCTTCTTTCAGAGAAGAAGTGAGGCCATTGCCATGACTGTTCAGAATATCAGTATCCACCAGATTATAGTTAAGTGTCAAAGCTTCTAAAGCTTTTAAAGCTTCTGAATGAGTTGATAATAATAAAAATTCCAAAGGAAATTCTCCGTGTTCTTTCAGGAACCAGGAAAGAAAGGAAAAGACATTTTTTTGTGACTCATAAAACATTTTTGTCTTTCAGATTACCAACAAGTAGCTCATTGATAAAAGGTAGTTAAAGGTGTTTTTTCCTCTACAGTGTCCACATTGAGTCCCTGTAATACCGATGAGTTCTGATGTGTGTATCTTCATTCATCTATGCCGCAAAACTCGATACTCTCTCTGTCGGATTCTTGGTTGCGGACACAATACTGCAATTGTGCTTTGCAGGTTTGATAGGCTCTTTTGGAAGAAGTCCAGCAACAGATGATGTTAGTGTTGGAGGCCAGAGTGAGCAAAACTACAGAACAATCCTGTCGACATTTCCGCGCTGTTTCAACACCTTGTTTGTACTTCTATGAACTTTAAGGACAGCTACTTGGTGGAAATGAGGAAACTTACTGAGATCCATTGTGAAAGTAGATTTGGTGTAGTGAAATTTAGTAACATTTGTGTGAAATACAATACGTTGCTGCACCATTTCCTCCCACTGCAGGCTTGGTTTGGGTTGCAAGTACTCCTGTCTGCATAAATTACATATAAAGAGTGATAAGGTGTGTTCTTATTAGCCACCTTTAACTCCTGTGTGCCCTAACTTTGCATTTACAACTGTGTAACAATAAGACCTGTTGTGTTCTCTGTGACCTGACAGTGGCTTTGCAATGCTTTGCTCTGTAATACTTTACTCACCACATTCTCATAAAGAGCAACAGCAGGGCATCTAAATGAAGAAGGTCTAAGCTGTAATTTAGAGTAATGACTGTAATTTTCAGCAGGAAAGTAGGTATTGACCAAACACACATCACTTAGGAAAGACTGCCCAGTCATGTTGTATTAATATCCTCGTCTGTATTAACCCAGAAGTGCCTTTACACCCTCAGATAAGCTGCTCAGTTGTTGACTTAAAGTTACTTGGCAGAGTTGCCAAACTAGAAATTCTCTCTAAGAAGAAAAAAAAACACAACAACCCAACAATATTTGAGCCTTATCAGCTCTCCTCAGTGTAATATTTCACGGTGAGTGTGCACAAATGTTTCTGGGCAAATACGTTCTAGTTTGCTGATAGCGTAACGACGGTAACCCCCGAGGACTGAGCACACAAGCAGCGAAAGCACAAACACTTAATGGAAACTCTCTCCAAATGCTACGTGTACCTAAAACGCACACAAGCGTAAAGGAATGCATACAAATAGAGAACATGCATAAAATCACAAGTTTAAAAAGATCGTTTGATAGTTTGAACAAGCAGCAGTGAGGCAGTAATAAAGCTGGTGAAAGTACTTTTTTTTTTTTTTCTTTCTGTGACTTTGTGAAGTTTTGATAGAGAAAGTAACCATCTAGATTTCCAATATGTGCTCAACTTACCTGAATAAATGCCGATTTTAAATTCTGCTGCAGCACATGTGAGGAGCAGCCCAGCTCCTAAAACGACCACCCAGTTCAAGTCTGTCATCATCCCAGTAAGAACAGTGTCAGTGATCACTGTTGTTAGATTAAATCTCAGCGCTGAAATGTGTTATTTGTTGCTGCCACTTTGTCTTCAGGAAACGTTTTACGTTATTGGGCATTTTGCTGTCACTCCTGAATTGTGAAAACCTCTACATAACAAATAAATGATTATATATAAATGCTCCTAATAGAGCCCATAACTCTCCCCAGCATCTATTCTGGTATTTATAGTTTCTTTTTGCATCTGTTTCTATGCATTTAGCAAAACTAATCCCATGAAAGGCCCAGAACCAGTACTTTTGATGATGCTAAATATGAGGTTCTGAAGCTGAAATTGCTGGAGTTTGCTCTTCAGTCCTCGTTATTACATCCTTTTTAGTGGAGTCCATTGTTGTTTTTGGTCTTTTCATGGGGAAATCACCAAAGATATCCTTTAATTTCCTTTGTGCTTTCTCTCTTTCATGTGTTTTGCCAGTCGGGGCTGCCGCGCTGAACGCATTGTTTTCGATGGTGCATCATGGAAAATACGATAGTTGCACCATTTACACTAAAATTGCACAAATGTGTAGCTAATTCTGGTTTCCAGACAAGAATTTTACCTCTCGTACAACCGGAAGTTCAAAGTTTCTTGGCTCAGATGTTCATGTTCAGGATTAACGTAAACTTCAGTGATTCTGTAACTTTTCATGCAATGACATCAACAGGTCAAGAGTTAAATTTGCCCAAGATTTTGGATTTGTAATTTTTTTTTTTTTTAAAATACCTGCAAATATAATGACGATCTTGACCTCCTCAGCTGTACTTTCTTGGCCCTCTAGTATCCTCTTTTAAACCTCATCTTAAAACCGACTTTTATTGTATGGCTTATTCGTGGAATTTGTTGTAATGATTTGTTAATTTATATTTTTGGTGTTATGTACTTTTGATATCTGTTTTGCACTAAAGCACTTTGTTTTTTAAAAGGCGCTGTTTAGATAAAGTTATTTAGCATGATAGCGTGCATTAGCATTTAGCTCAATGCACTGCAGTGCCTAAATACAACCTCACAGAGCTGTTAGCTGTCGTGTTTTTGTCTTTTTTTTCTTCTAAAAGTCATTTGGTGACGGCTCTGTGCAACCTGAAATGACATGACGAAAAGTTTAGGAGAAACTTGGGAAGAAAAATCCCTTCAATCACTATTTATTTTTATTTTTTTAGCACACAGAGACGTTATTTTAACTTTGGTTCAAAATTATTTATTTTAAAAAGGACGATTATTGTCGTTGTGAGTGGACTCACTGTCGATACTTTAAAATGTCGGTGAGCTGAGACCAAGTTTTGGATTTTGGAAATTATTGAGCGCTTGAACCGGACTGTGGACTAAATGTTTAACTCGCTGTCTGAGCTGGTTTGTACTGGAACCAGTGTGTCGGCATGGAGCAGCAGTAGAGAACTTGGCAGCGAGTGAACTGAAACGACTTAAAGATTTATGAGGTGAATTGTGCTTGCCTTCAATAAAGACATTGTGTTCTGAAGGACTCTACGGCCTTCAAACTAGTATCAGGATCAGAACAAAGGAGCAACGCTGAGGAGCCGCCGACCTCCTCTGACAAGGACGAAGCGCTAACACATTCTTAAAACCTTCAGAAGATTCATGCATGGTTTTATGAATGCCTGAATATAGATTTGCATTATGGGAAATGTAGGAACCAGTGTTTGTTGAGTTTGACCAAGACTACACACTAAAATCCAGGATGTCTCAGATTCTGCTCAGTGTTATTCACAAGTCCCCCAACATTCATGATCTGTCTTACTCTTTATGACAGATCATTGCCTAAATATGCAAACTGATGTGTGAGGAGCTGCAGAAAAAAAAGTCACTGAAATTCACTACACAGGAGCACAAATGTCTGTAGATTTGTTGTCGGCGGTCTTTACCGTGTTTAAAAGTGACGTAAATCCTAACACAAGACCGTCTCTGCAGGTGCACTTGCAGACACAGCAGGAGGTGCAGAAGAGGATGGTGGGGATGGCCATCCACGTGATGAAGAACGACGGTGTGTTGGCTCTTTACAACGGTCTCTCTGCTTCCCTGTGCAGACAGGTACGGTTGTCCGAGTGCACTCTCATCATGAGCCTGTGTGTGTGTGTGTGTGTGTATGTGTGTGTGTGTGTGTTTTCGTGTTCATTTGATTGCAGGTTTACACTTAGGGCTGGGTTATGTAGCTGAAAAATATACCACAATATTCCAGTCGATATCGGTATTACCCATTACTTCTAATGACCAATTTTATTTTTAGTGAAGATCAATGAGTATAAAGTTTAGCTTCTGTGAAAGTACACAGTTTGTAATGTTAACACAACAATGAAAAACGCACACATGGAAATAAATTATTCATGCACATAGAGATCAATAAGGTCCAGACTGCGACCATTTCTGTTCCATTTGCGACCTTCTTTTGAGAGTGTGCGAGTTGAAATTTTAACTGGTCACATTCGTGTGAGTGCATGATGATCATGAAGCTGTTTTGGTGTCACTGTTACGGCCGCAGGAAGCTCCTGGGTTAACCACAGTGGTGGAAAGCAGCACTTTTATAACTTTGGTGGACTGTGGTGTTTACACCTAAAAATCTCCTGAAATGTGGAGCAGACCTGTTTTCGTTGTTTGGTATGAGCAGAGCAGCGCGTGTAGGTGTGCTCCACATTGGACAAAAAAATTACTGTGACGAATCTGACATTTGAACAACCCCGTTTAACTATTTTCAAAGTATTTTTCGATCACACACCTGTCTGGGCACCGCGGCCACCAAGCAGCAGCTACCACAGCCTGCAATGTGGTTCGTTTAGGGAGCATTTGTAAATTGTAGCATCTGTTGATCGTTCAACAAGTGATGTGTTTTTGCCTGTGACAAGGTGGGAGCCGGTGCTACCAGTGGAAAAAGTTACTCTGGTGCCCTGATAAGGACAAAGGAATGATCTCACCTTGAAAAACATTGCACAAAGAGTAAAACCAGGAGGTGCATGATTTATATATCAGTATATTGCTGTTGTTTTACCACTGGAGCCAATTAAAGCTTATGATTTACAGATTGGAGTTAGACATTGTCTAATACAGATATGCTACTACTACTAATGACAACAGTTGCTCTCCTCAGCCTATTGAGCTTAAGGATAAACTTCATTATAGAACCAGTTTACTATAGAACAGGTTTTAAAGACAAATTCAGTTGCATAATAATGAGATTTAAGGTTTGCGCTTTAAGCATGACGTGGTAATTATGGCTTCACGTGAGGTTACTATTTTTACATGAGCATATATTAGTTTGTGACAACGGCGTGCTAACAATAGGACAGTTTTCTGAAGCGTAGGAGAATAACTGTGTGTTCAGCAGGTGTGTAAATGCTGCAGGAGACACAATGTGATGGAAAGAAAAGTTCACCCACAGCCGCTTGTTGAGGAAGACTTGGATGAGTTTGATCTTGTTTGGCTGCAGCTGTAAGATGATTTCTTGCATCAACATTGTGTTAGATTGATGGTTTTGCCCGAGGCTCCTCCTGGTGGCTGAAGACGGTGAATGTTAAATACTGCAGAAAACAGAATTCAACCATCTTCTGGACTTCTTTTCTTCTCAGATGTCCTATTCGCTCACCAGATTCGCCATCTATGAGACGGTGAGGGACATGATGGGCAGCACAAACAAGGGCCCGATGCCCTTTTACCAGAAGGTACTGCTGGGAGCCTTCGGAGGTGAGAACACAGACACATATTCTGCCTCTTCCTGCTTCCCCCACTTTTCCCCTCTCGTCCTCACTCGCACATATCAGGCTTCCATACAAGACAATGTCCCAACGAGGTTTCTCTGCCGACAGGTTTCACCGGCGGGTTCGTTGGCACACCGGCAGACATGGTGAACGTCAGGTACGTTACCTTTAAAATCACAGCTCCTGTTCTAAATTAATCAGGAAACGGTGGAATTCAAAAGATCCTTTCTTGAATTTTTGCTTCTAGGATGCAGAATGACATGAAACTACCACCAGAACTGAGGAGAAAGTGAGTGTTGTAATTATGCGTCTCCAAAAGGTTCAGTTTAGATGAAAATTTCTCAGTAAATGAACACTGAATTTGTGGTTTTCTTGCAGCTACAAACATGCCTTTGATGGACTGTTCAGAGTCTTCAGAGAAGGTGAATCCAAAGCGGAATATTGTCAGTTATTAGTCTTCAGTACAAAAAAAACAAAAAAGGCATCATGTCTGACCTCTGATCTCCGTCCTGTCATTACAGAGGGTTTAAGGAAACTGTTCTCAGGAGCCTCCATGGCCTCCAGCAGAGGAGCAATGGTCACTGTGGGGCAGGCAAGTCACACTCACTCACAATCTGGAATCTGTTTTTTTTTTTTTTTTGGCATTATAGCTACAAATTTAATTAGGTTAAAAGTCATTTTAAATGCCCACTGGTATGAAACAGATAAACGGGGGAATTCATATGAATAAAACCAATGAATAGCTACACAGATGTAGAATTATATACGTTTTTTGAGGCAACTTATGTAAGTACTAAATTATTACATCACATGATGATAACACTGTTAATATTTGACTAAACAATCTCACTTTGAATTTCATTAATTAGCAGCTCTGGATGCCTCGACACCAGTGTGAGAGTGGAGAGAGTGAAACAAAACTGAAGAGCAGCAAAAATCAGTGTGTTTTACCATCTGAACCCCAAACAATTTCTGTGTGTTTATTAACTTCATTTTTACACATGAAGTCCTGCACAGCTCGTCTATGGCTAAAAGTAAAAAGAACTCAAAAAGTCTTTTTTTTTCTTTTCTTTTTTTTGTGCCGTGCAAAAAGCTAAAATCAGCACGTACAACATTTTTCCAAGTGCCCACAGGTGGTACTAATGCTGGAAAAAAATGGTGACTATATACAATAGATATTTTACTACTCACATTTATACATTATTCCAGCCTGCAGTTTAGCTTAAAAGTCCGACAATTTTTGTCACAGCTGAAGCCGTAATGGCCTTGCAGTTGCACCAAGAAGTAAAGACATTTCTGTTATCTTTTCTTTCTTTTTTTTTTAGAAAAGTCATGTTTATTTTGGGGCAAATTTTGAAACAAGACATGCATAATAAGGTGATTTTGATAAAATGTCATGATTTTAAGCTTAGAGTTTGCTGGAGGATTGTTGGAAAGTTCAAAATTAGTTTTTACAATTTGTGGCTCTAATAAATAATTCTTTAAAGAATAGATAACATGCATTTAAAACCTTCTGGAAGGTTTTGGGGTTCAGAAGATTAAGGAGACACAAAGGGAACTTTATTCTACTAGGGAATAACACTTCAATTTAAATCTAGCTTTTGCTGTTCATTTGAGATATTTTTATGTTATTTACATGATTTTGTTATGTGCAGTTATGTGAATTTATCATTGTGAAATCCATTTCTAAGCTGAAAAATTATTTGTTTAACTGGTTCTATTTAAACACTGAATAACGCATCATGCAACATTCACATAGCCTCAACCATTCCTTCAACTTTTTGATGTGTGTGTTGACAACTATACGTCCTTATAGACTGTAGCGCTGGTGAAACTCTTTACATGCAGTTAGTTCAAAAAGTCTCTTTGTGTTTTTCTGGACTGACTGTAGACCAGACAATAAGGTACAGTAGAGAACACACTGTAAGTTTAAAACTGTGGGTGCTCTAGAGTTTTGCTACAAATAATTATTGAAGACAGCCTTTAGTGTTAGATTTAACATTCTGCAGAGACATGAAGTTAAGATATGAGGATATTTGTGACCACACTGTACCATAAATATCAAAACCATTATGGTCACAGTTTATTTGTTATAGCCAATCTATCTTTATTTATTGTTTATAAAAAAAATAAAAATAAAAGTGCAATATTGCTTTTAAATGTGTTTTTGTGAATCTTTTTGTTCTACCACTAGAGGGAGCCATTTCAAATTTCTACACTTTGGCTTGTTCATATTTGTGCTTCATTTGTGAATCATGTCCGGCAGAGTTGGTGCACAGCATGTCACCGCCAAAGTTTCTACAAGAATCCAAACTGAAGCCTCTTAAAGCAAGACAGGCTGATTTCAAAGCAGTGATTGTGTGGCGCCGTTTTCTTAAATGTTTCTTGTTACCAGTAAAAATGTCATCAGTTTTCTCATTTGCTTCTTTGTTTGTTTTTTTCCATCTTCAGTTGGCATGCTACGACCAGGCCAAGCAGCTGGTGTTAGGAACCGGCATGATGGGAGACAACATCCTCACACACTTTCTTTCCAGCTTCATTGCCGTGAGTACCTGCTTTCATTAGTGAGCTCTGGAGGCCTGAGTCAGTCCGTGTAAAGCTCGCGGGGCTTCTTTGTTGACTGAACTGCTCCTCTGCAGGGCGGCTGCGCTACCTTCCTGTGTCAGCCTTTGGATGTAATGAAGACGAGGCTGATGAACTCAAAAGGAGAGTACACGGTGAGTGCGACCTTCTTCATCCTATTATTCTTTCAGTCCACTTTGTTTCTGCATCTCTATCTGAATGACCTTGCACGTCTCTCTCTTCAGGGGGTGACACATTGCTTACGAGAAACTGCCAGGCTGGGTCCGATGGCATTTTATAAGGTAAAAACAGTCCTGCATACTATATATTTATCACCTAATTGTGTTAATTTGAGACTGGCGACCTGTCCAGGGTGTCCCCTGCCTTCGCCCTAAGTCAGCTGGGATAGACTCCAGCCCCTCCGCGACCCTAGTGAGGATTAAGTGGTGTATAGATGATGGATGGATGGATGGATGTGTTAATTTGGCTAATGTCAGGAATGTCCCTCGATGCTTTGATTTTTCCTGAGCAGCTGAAATTGCTCCATGGCTGCTGTTGTAACTACTGATCAGACCTCGATAGCAGTGGATACTCAAACAGTATGCATATTAAATCAGGCAAAATGAAGGGGACAAGCTCTTCTTTCTTTGTGGCAATGCATGTGTTTTCCTATTTTCTTAGTAAATAATGAAGGCTGACAGCAGTGCCCTGCCTGGCAGTCAAATAAAAATAGTATTACAAGTAAAATAGCTTAAATCAGTCCTGTGGAATCTTGCTCATTTTTAATAATTTCTGCTTTTTAATTAATGTTGCTGCTGCTGTTTTTCGTAAATGCAAGTAAAGAGTCTCGGTTCTGATCGACTGGAAACATTTCTGAGGTGGTTATGTGGCCTGAGAAAACTGCAGAGATAACAGTTTAAAAACACCATCTATTGCACAAAGTTGCACACATGATCAATATCTTTTAACAAGCTTCGCAGTAGGTGTTTGCAAATTCAGAAAGATGAATGCAAACGTACAAGTGCAGAGATGATTACTGCTTGATCGGAGATTTATTTACCGTCACGATTTAAAATGTTACTTTTAGCCCAAGAGCAGGAAAACTGGAAAATGGAGGGGTAATAGATTTATCTAACAATGTTATATAATTATAATTTTAACAATATAAACAATACTTGGACTGTATTTTGGATTTGAGCAGGTTTTTAATGGTCATCTTTTAGTACTGTGCAAAAGTTTTTGGCATGATGCTTTGAAAGATATGGTCTTGAAAAGTATTTATTAACAATTAGCTTCATACAAAAAGCAGAAAATGGAAACAAAGTAAAAAAGCATTTTGTGTGAACAGCCTTTAAAACAGCACCAATTCTCCTCAAACACAGTTTCCAAGCTCTTTATAATCTTGCTGTATGTTGCAGAATAAGTTTGGGACGATTAGAGTAAACAGCTGCACATAAACACCGACATAGTTATAGTTTATCTCATTTGACCAGCATATGGTCTGCCTGTCAACTTCTTGAAACTCAGCCTTACTCTGAATCAGATCTAAAAAAAAAAATCAAAGTGTTGTTTGTTTTATAAACTACTAACAGTGGTCTAACACTGTATTTCGTCACAGGGTCTAGTTCCTGCAGGGATCCGTCTGGTTCCCCAAACAGTGCTCACCTTCATCTTCCTCGAGCAACTCAAGAAACACTTCGGCATTCGCATCATCTCCTGAGCGCGCTCAGTGACCGGCTGCTTTTAAGCTCCACCTGCCCGCCCAAACGCTGCCACTGCCGATCGCAACCACCCACCGTCATCACTCTGCTCTGCAACAAAAGAAGGGAAGACAGGAAGACGTGTGCAGTTTATTACCGGCTCACGCACGCTTTCCTTCTCCTTTTGCTCTACCTCTTTCTCACAACTGAAAGTTTTTCGATCATCGGGAGTGTCAACATTTGGAAGGGATTTAAGAAAGGAATTACTGAAAGTAAAGGGGCTCTAATGGGATTGTTAGATGTCCGTGGTAATTTCTGGTACAGATTAGTACGTGGCAGAGTGAGACAGACTGAGATTAATTGTTAATTTTGAGTTAAGGACTCCCCAGCAATTCATCTGCAACGCTGATGACTGACTAAACGTTGACTTTAACTCATTCCAAATGAGATTTTGTGATTTATGTTTTTATCTTAGTGTAAGCTCAGTCCACAAGTGGTGCCTTCAGAGCACACCAGTCCAAAAACAAATGCAGAATAAATGTGTTTTCTGTCGTCCTTTACAACACTTTCTTGTTGTTATATTAGGCCATTAGGGTAGTGCTTATGATCTAGCAGAAGTAGAAAGTTTTATAGTAAAGTTGTGAACGAACACAGCTTAGCCTTATCATCAGTGCCATTTTGACCGACCCGTAATATTTCCCGAAAACTAAACCATGACTGAACAAGTTCTGTTGTAATTGCATAGAAATCATTCCCACCAGTAGTGACCAAACGCGTTACGGTGTCAGTGTTGATTTATTTGTTTGCTTTCTCGTCGCTTGATTAATCCTGTTGAACTGGAAAATCGACTGCTAACGTGTTAAAATTTCATTAATTTGTACCTGATGCTCCTTTTTATTTCATTCCACTGTCATCATTTCACTCTCAAATCAGGAAGAGAAGAGGACCAAGCTTGTGTTTGTGTCTTGTCTTTTAAAAGAATAAAAAGTCGAGAGTTAGAGGAGAAACTGTGAAACGGAGAAAAGGGGTTGTTGGAAATCCTGATGAAGGCAAAGGCTTTTTGCAAAAATGACCACTTCATCTCTTAAAGTTTTTTTTAATTTTTATTTTTATTTTTATTTTTTTAGAGATGTGAAGCCTGTGGAGAACTGCTGCACAGCGTGCATGTAGCATTTCCATCTGTAACATCACTGTCCGGTCTAACTGAATGCATGTCAAGACTTTACGACTCAGGATGCTCCTCTGTTTTATAAGGCACTTTATTTAAAAACCCTCGATTCATACTGACTAACCTGCTGCGTAGAAACACATGCTGTATGTTAAAACGTGTTCTGAAAGGAACAGTGTTTTTGTTTTTAATGGTTCCAGTTGGGGGGGATTGTTGCTGTTGTCCTATATGATAAGTTTGGCTTTGGTTCAGTGAAATTCTGGATTTTCTGTGCTGTGCCTGCTCTGTTTACAGAGACCTTGTAAAGTATTGTTGCCTTACAGTGTGTGTCCTGCAGGGGGCAGGATAGTAACGTGTGAGGTATCCTGTGTTATGCATCATAATAAACCCTGCACCTTCATCCCAGGAGGAATATGAATAATAATGAAAAAGCTGGAGGGACAGTTATGTGTTAGTGAAACCGCATTTTGTAGATCCTTAACTAATGACTTTGGAATTAAAATACTAATTGAAAATAACTGTGTTTGCTTGTTTTTGTCATTTAAAAAAAAAAAATAGCAGCTTTAAGTTGGAAGTAAAATCAATCAAATTGATCAAATGTGATCTCAGTGTTTCTGCTGTTGACCGCCACAAAACTCACACATAAGACTGACTGTAGTTGTGACTCAGGCTTTACCCTCATAGATTCGACCTCACGAAGGGCACGCTTTAATGTTCTTAACACCAGTTCTTAACACCAGCCCACAGACCTGAGATCCGTACTTATTTCACACCGTGCGGTCAAGTGGTGGTATTCAGCTGTAATGATGAATGGCAGCAGTGTAACTCCTGTTCCTCTGCCGAGGTGAACGTAGCTGCCCAGTCCTTTATTAACACTATCCATCACATTAGTGGCGGTGACTGTTCACCTCTAACAGCACGTCTATGGGAAAAGTCATCTCTGCATGCACCCAGCTTCATTATAACACTACTGCTTTTGCACAGCCGTGGTATATTCTACCTGTGTGTACAGTGATAAGAACGTTCAGGTTTTAGGCCCCATGTTTTGACCTCAGAAATGTCCTTTATTCCATTTTAGAAGGAAAATTATCTTCTCAGCTATACTCATTAGCAATCAAACATTGCTGTTAGAAATAGACGTTAAGCTGAAATTGTAACAAACATGTGCAAGAAGAAGTAAAGACAGTTTTTGGTCTTACTCTGGTTCAGTTCACTTGTGCTGGTATAATGAACACTTTGTATGGGACGATCACTTCTGTCAGCAACATTCAGAGATTCAGGGTCCAGCTTCTGTCAAACATTAACTCTTCCCAAACTCAATTTTCAGGAGGCTCCACTGAGATGGTGTGATTTTTAAGGCAAGGAAAACAAATTCTTGTGTTTTGCTTTTTAACGTCATGTTTGATTAATAGTTTGAATATTTTCTCATATTGAAAATGCCACAACAGATTTGTGTTGTCTTTTCTGACTTGACGATTTGTATCATTTGTTGTGCTGCTGCTGCAATGATTTGTGTGAACCTGCTCGAAGTATTCCCCGATGGGATGACATAAAATACCGAACGTATTCATAGAATAACAAGGAAATGGGGCCGGAGCTACAGTTTGATTCATGTGACATACGCTGCTGAATGGATTAAATTCAATACTTGTACAGAAAGTCGGAAAGAAATTCCTCTTCAATCTCCACGTCAGGGTTGATTTAGAACTGCATTTGTGTGCTCTGAAGTTGACAGGCCATAGTATAATATTTGACTTCATGATTTATACAACAATAATGTTATAGTCTCTGATTACATCTCTAAATTCTTTTATTAAAGGCTCTCTGTGCAACATTCAGAAACCCTGGATGTTGCACTAGACCACTGGCATCTCTGACTGAAACACAGTCTGTTTCCATGGACCCACAAACAGACTGGGTCCACTTTTGGATGAACCACATTAACCACATAAATGTGGTGAGGGACATAAGTCAAAAACGTTAACATCTTTTCTTTTTTGGGGCATTGGTTTAACTCTTGGCTGCACTTTTGTTTTTACAGTGAACTATGGGAGGTCACTCTTGCTCTGTCAGTTTCAACGGGAGGGACTCACATGCACTTATACGAGGTGTGTCAGAAAAGTTTCAGGACTGGTGTCACAAAAGATATATTTAAACTCCAAAAGACAAGTTTTCCCCTTCCAAGTAATCCCCCTGGAGTCTAACACACTTCCCCAGCCTTCTCTGCCACGCCGCCATGCACTCCTGGAAGGTTCCTCCAGGATCCTCTGCAGCTCCATCATCACAGCCATCTTGATGTCGTCCACGTCTTCAAAACAGGTCTCCTTGATGACCCCCTTGAGCTTGGGGAAGAGGAAAAAATCCCACGGATTGGGGTGAGTAGGGAGGTTGCTCCAGCACGGCGATGCTCTTTTTCCAGGAACTGTTGGATGCTCAGGACATTGTGAGCAGGTGTGTTGTCATGGTGAAGCAGCCACGACTTGTCCTGCCACAACTCTCACCTCTTCACTGAACGAAGCAAACACCACAGGATCTCTTTGTAGACATGCTGGTTGATCGTCTGAAGAGGAAAACTCGTAGTTTGTAGTTTGGGTTTTAAAAATATATTTTGGGACACACCTCGTACATGCACACATGGCCAAACTGGCTGCCAAAACATAAAGCTCAGATTAAAAGACACACAGAGGGAGTGTAACCAATGTCTCTGTTACTACACCAGTCCTCTACTATATCTTTACATAGCAAATAGTTTGCTGCTAAGTTAATGTCATATTTATGTTTTGTTCTTCAATGTTCTGTCATGCAACTTGACCTTGACTTGAAAGTAGAGAAAAGAAGAGGTAAAACATAAACAGGTGTTCTGGATCCAGTAAGTGGACATTACAACAAAGGATCTTGCCACTGGAACTGATGGAATTTGTCCTGTTAATGCTGTAAAGGGGCAAAAATGAGAAACAACATTAAATTAGGAAGAGGCAAACTCAAGGTTTTGACTTCTGCATGTTGTGTAAGTAGGTATAAAACAGAACAGAAGTTTTCAAAGTGTTTCTAAGATACTTATTCCCTCCTGTTTACATAAAATAACCCAAATGAAGCCTCCCAAATCACTTAGCTGAGGCAGCAAGTTCACCACTACTCAATGGAAATAAAAGATAAAAGTAAGCAAACTTATGTTATCTGCAGGGACTATGGGAGATGCGGTTCTTCATCCTGCTTCACAAATCAATATTTGTGCATCAACAATAATCAAAATCATTGACTGTAACGTGAAAGAGGTCACTCCAGGTGAATTATCACCGACAGCTCTTCAGTTACAGCTTTTATGACCAGATTTATATGATTTTACACACATTTGCTGTACAGCAGTGTGCTCCGCCTGTCCAGCGCTAAACAGCAAATTCAGTCAGTGACTATCCACTGAACACAGCTTTAAATTTAACCATTCAAGAAATAAATAATAGCCCTCGGTGATACTTTCACTCAGGCATCTCTGTTTATTTTACGGATGATCTGATTTCACTCCATCTGCTTATAGAGAGCACTGATAGTATTTGGAGGAGTGTGATTACGGATAATAAAGTAATTCCCCACTTCACCGATCAATACGGGCCTCTAAAGGGCAACTGTGGCTCCGTTTAATCTCAGTACGGTCGAGAGCGCACAGAAAAGTGATTTTGGGTTCTGAGCTGAGGCCAGAAGAAGAAACAGCAGGAAGTGATATTAACAGTTTTCTCTTTCTTGGTGATGCTCTCCAGTTGTCGCTCCAAACATCTTTAGCTCTTCCTTACTGTGGGGTCGTTCAGCTACCAAGAGATCAGCTGATAACTCGACCAGTTGAGGATATTCCCGCTCTTTACCCCCATAAAGCTCTTTGGCTGACTTGGTCTTTCTGTTTAGGGTCGTAAATGATGAAGTTGCCCAGTGAGTTTTATTGCTGAGTGTGAACACACCGGATGCTGGTGTACTTCCACATTCATCCTGTTGCTTCCATCAGCAGCGGGCTCATCAATAAATGCCAGTGTGCTTGTTCCACTGGCAAACCAATAACCCAGTAACAGGAACACCACCATGTTTGACAGATGAGGTGGTGCTTTGGTTCGTGAGCTGTTTCTTTCTTTCTTCTCCTTTAAATCATTTTGACAGAAGTTTGCTTTGTTTTCATCCATCCTTTAAACTTTCTTCACAACTTTCACATCTCTGCTTCTCACAGAGAAAGTTTCTCCTCATCATCGACAACATGTCAGTCTACATTCTGGAGAGCATCCTTGACTCACCGTGCAGGCAAAACTCACTTTTTTAACGCCACAATTTTTCACTCCTTCACGAGCTTTGCTATTTCTATACATATCTATGTGTGACTTTAGGTTATATTAAGATTTTTAGACATACAAGTCATTTTTTGCATAGTGTGTGTTTTTTTTTTTAACGTAACAGATTTCTGCACATCTTTACAAATATATTACAAATATACGTTTTCAGCACATTGCAATGCTTCTGTAAACTGTTTTTGTGTTGAAAGTATTTTATGCTCAGTGTTAAATGTTGTTTCTTGACTTGTCATTTGAGCTTCTGTGACAAAATCATTTTCTGCAAAGGATCATTAAAGTCTGACAGTATCTATTTTTTATGATTCTGTTCACTTGCATGGTCACTTCTTTGAACTAGCTCTGAAATGTGCACAACTTTTCCATAAGTTTTTAATGTCTATCTTGTAGTTTGAGCTCTGTGTATTAAAGGGTTAAGAAGCCTAAATCTCACATAAGGGTTTTTTCAGTTTGTATGTAAAGCTACTAAAATGAAAGCTGAGACTTTTAACATTTTAATGTAGTATCCATCTATAATATGTTATTGCAGTGCAGTGACAACATATTCTTTCACTCACGCACTGAGACCCTCCTCACTGTTACTCTAAGTCCCATCACAATCAAGAAAATCCATTTAAATCTGCAATGACTCTTCATCTAATGAACAAGAAACTCATGAGCCACTTCAGAAGCAGAAGAATCCCTTCAGAATTAGTTCTCAGTGTCTCTACACTGAGCTCCCTCAGTGTCTCTTTTTGTAGTAAGTCCACAAACAATAGTCCTGCCAAAAGTGAAAGCAGATCTCGTGGCCTCTCTAAACTTATTGGGTCGATGATTAATTTTAATTAGTTGGAAATCATCCTCTGCTCCTTCACAAGTGGCCTGGATCTGAGGCGTTCTTCTTTTTCAGTAGGCTGGAGAGGATTAATCATACATTAATTTTCCAATATATGGCAGCATCTCTTCAACCACAATGGACCCTGCAGTTCCACAGTATACCTCAGTAAAGCTGGCTGCCTCGTTTCCTCCTTTTTTCCTTCTGCTTTCTTTATTTATTTGTTAAAACACTCCATCATATATTAATCATTTAATTTATTGCAGCTCCCCTTTTTTTCAGTTTACTGGACTGTAGCACGAATGTGACACCACGTATTTTCTAATTAAGCTGACATATACTTTATTGCACCAATGTTGCTCACTATCTCAGTTACCAT